GAATTCGGGGTGTTCAGGGAGGGCTTGGGTGCTTGGAGGAGTATGGGAGGGCTAGGGCATCCAGGGGTGGTTTGAGGAGGGCTAGGGGATTTGGGGCTGGCCTGATCTGCTTTACCTCACAGGGTGCCTGCGCTGGATCAAGGCGAAGACCCCGTGCAGGACGCTGCGCAGGAATCCCCATGCTTGGGACATGAGGACTGTGTTGGGCAGGATCCCGGCTCCCCATCCTCCTGCCTGCTGGTCAGTCCCTCGCCTTGCTCAAGTCCTTCCCCCACACATCCCCATCCTGCCCTGCTCCTTCCCATCCTGCCCAACTCTTGCCCCACATCTCCTGGTCCTGCCCCTTGCCTCCCTGTCCCACTCTGGTCCTGCCTGACATCTCCCAGGAGTGCCCTGGATTTGCCCTGCACTTCCCCATCCTGCCCCCGTCCTGCCCCACAAATCCAGGTCCTGCCCCCGTCCCGCCCGGTGCCTCCCCATCCTGCCCCCACCCCGGTGCCTCCCCGCCCGGTGCCTCCTTGTCCTGCCCCCGTCCCACCCCAGTTCTGCCCCACACTTCCCAGTCCGGCCCCAAACCTCCCTGTCCTGCCCCAGTCCCACCCCAGTACCTCCCAATCCTGCCCTGGTTCTACCCTGTCAGCTCCAGCACTTCCCAGTCTTACCACCGTACCTCTCCATCCTGTCCAGTATCAGCCCCTCCTACCCCAGTATCTTCTTCTGCCCTTCTACCTCCCCATTGCCTCCAGCTACCTCAGCAGCAGCTCATCTTGCACCTACGCCTCCCTGTCTTGTCGCAGTTCCTCCCCTGCATCTCCCAGTCCTGCCCAACTCCTTTGGCACCTCAGGGTCCTGTCTTGGTTCTACCTCACCTAGTTCTGCCCAGATCCCTCCTGATCCCTGCACACCTCCTCATCCTGTGCTGGTGCCTCCAGGACCCTGTCCCATTCCATCTGGGTGCTTCCAGCGCCCTATCCCATCTTGTACCAGTAAATCTCTGTCCTGTCTTGGCAAATCCAGTACCCTGCCCTGTCCTGATCTCTCAGGCACCTGCCCCAAGACACTGTTTCTCACTTTCCAGGCTGCTGCGTCCCCAGATGTCTCTTCTCCCGGCAGCGCCTCCTCGGGTGAAGATAGCCCCTCTGCCCCTGACAGCTCCTCCACTTCCCTTCCTGGTATCCCCCGGCGCAGGACGGGTGAGGAGCCGCTGGGCCTGGACTCTGCAGCTCCACCAGCCTGGCTGCATCATGCGGCAGTCTTGGCTGCCCTCCCCTGCGCCGTCTGGCCCCAGCTTCCCTATTCCCTGTGAACCGGCAGCCATCACTAATTTCTGCTTCTTTCCCACTGCTCAGCTCGTAAGCAGGTCCCCAAGCGCAAAATGGAGCTGGCGAGCTGTGCGGAGAACGGGCACGACGTGGAGCCTGATCCCAAGCGGCAGAGGGAAGAGCCGGGTGAGTGTGGCCATGGGGCAGGTTGGGCAGTTGGTGTGGGTGCCCAGCGGTGCTCTCTGAACGGTGTTCAAGGTCCCTCTGTGGCTGCTCCACTGTGGAAACTAGAGTGCTGATCCTCAGCTCCTGGGGATGGAGCTGAGGAGGCCCTAACACCCCTACTCTGGGCATCTACAGGAGATGGATGCAAATTGGACAGCACAGAGATGCAGGAGGTGAGGGATCAGAGCTCAGAGGAGGCTAAGGAGGCAGAAGATGGCAACAGGGATGGTGAAACCCAGGCATCAGAGCTTCCAAAGTCCAGCAAAGCCATTGCTGACATCTTTGGTGAGCGGAAAGGAGCGGACGGGTACAGTGAGCTGGGTGGTGGGCCAGGGAGACCCAGTGGCTGCCTCCAGGTATTCGAGGATATCTTGGTACTACGTGAGGAGCATAGCACGCATTCCTCCTCATCAGACACCTCTCTCTGCTCTGCTCCCTCTCACCCAGCCCCCAGGAAGGGGTCGAGGACAAAGGCAGAGGAAAGGGCAGCCTCGAAGATGCCAACCCTGAAGAGTTCAGCCCCCACCAGCATTGAAAGCACGAATGGGACTGCAAGCAGGTGGGGGAATCATGTGGGGTCCTTGAGCCAGAGAAGGGAAGCCTGGGTCAACCCTGAGTCTCTGGTCCTGTCCACAGGGCGCAGCATCTGTCCCCAGTGTTGAGGGAAAAAGAGGGTGCCAGTATAGCAAGGGAGGGGATATGGGGTTGCCGGGCTCTGCTTGTGCCAGAGCACGGCAAGAGCCTCATGCTGTCCCCGCAGTCCCTCCCAGGTTGCTGAGCCTCTGGATCCAGCCCAGTACAACCCCTCCAAGAGCAGCTATCACCCCATTCATGATGCCTGCTGGGCCCCCAGGCAGAGGTAAGTGCTGGGATCAGTGTGTAGTGGTGCCAGGCAGGTTTAGGGTGGCAGGAATTCTGTAGGGCCAGGACCTGGGGGCTTTTCTGCTTCTTCCCTGGGCCTGTCTGGCTACTTTCAGAGGTTAGGAGGACCCAGGAGTCCTGGGCTCTGCAGAGAAAGGAAGGCAGGGGCTGTCTTTTTGTGTGCGCCTGCTGGCCCTGCTGTGCTCCTGGCCCTGTCTCTCTTTCCAGGGTCCCCTACCTGGCTGTGGCTCGTACCTTTGAGCGCATTGAGGAAGTCTCTGCCCGGTAAGGTCCCATCTCTGCGGTGGGGAGCATTGGCAGCTTGTCCCCTAGGCTGACTCCCTTTCACCCCCAGCCTGAAGAACATTGAGACCCTAAGCAACTTCCTCCGCTCAGTCATTGCCCTGTCACCATCTGACCTCCTGGCCTGCGTCTACCTCTGTCTGAACCGCCTAGGCCCTGCCTATGAGGGGCTGGAGCTGGGCATTGGGGAGAGCATCCTCATGAAGGCTGTTGCACAGGCCACGGGTAAGGAGAGAGCTGCCAGCACTGGACACAGCTCCAGAGCCTCCAGCCTGTCCCTGGGGTCTACCCCAGCCCCCTCTGAGCCAGAGCAGAAAGCTGCAGGGGGGACCAGTGAGAATTGACAGAGGCCTTTGCTCTCGCTGGCAGGCCGCCAGCTAGAGAAAATCAAGAGCGAGGCCCAGGAGAAGGGAGATCTGGGGCTGGTGGCCGAGAGCAGCCGCAGCAACCAGCGGACCATGTTCGCGCCACCCAAGCTGAGCGCCGCCGGGGTCCTCAGCAAGCTGCAGGAGATGGCCAGGATGACAGGCAATGCCGTGAGTTGGGGCCAGGTGGTGGGGTCTCACCCTGGCAGGCCTGCAGGGTGTCTCATGGACACAGTCACTGTTGCTGCCTGACCTGTGGGAAGGACTTTGGCTGGGCTAGATTTGTCCACCCCTTTTCCTGGCTGTGAGCGTGAGTTAGAGACATCCCTGGCAAGGCCTGGTCCCTGCCTGTGCCTCTGCAGTCCCGGCAGGGCCCCTGCTTGTGCTGTTTCTCTTGCAGTCAATGAACAAGAAAATCGATATCATCAAGGGGCTGTTTGTGGCCTGCCGCCACTCCGAGGCTCGCTACATTGCCCGGTGAGTCATGGCTTTGCCCTGGTCCTGTGCCGGGCATGGTTTCTCCTTTCGCTTCATGAGCGCTCACTGTGCCTTTTGGCTTCACCCCAAGTGGTTTTGGCATTGTCACAGCTGGCCCTGCCCTTTACGGCGTGTGCTCCCCTGCCGTTGCAGGTCACTGAGCGGGAAGCTGCGCATCGGGCTGGCAGAGCAGTCAGTGCTGGTGGCTTTGGCCCACGCCGTCTCACTGACTCCCCCAGCACAAGGTGAGGCAAGTGCAGGTCCTTTGGGTCTGGGACGGGCGTGTGGGGCCCGGTGGACTTTGACCCTGGGGCTGTGCCCTTCTCACAGGGTGGCCCCCAGCTGTGGTGGATGCCAGCCAGGGCAAGTCTG